ATTTTATAAATAGTATATAATTAAAATAATATGTAAAGTCATTCTGAACAAGTGTGCAACTTTATTTTTTCTTTGTTTTTTACTCACAACAAACATGAAACTCTATTTTTCAACAATAACAAAAACAATAACAAAAAGTTGAATTAGGTTATAAATCAACATAAAATATAACTCGATATTTAAATGATAAGTTCAACTGCTTGTTCCAATAAAAAACATTAAAATTCCAGAATTCCAATTGTCATACAGAACGGATTAAACAGTGTTGTATATCGATTGTGAATGGAGCAAATGTTAAACATTTCGTTTATAAAAAATAATGGGAAAAGCCAAATAGTGTGATTCAAAGACTTTTTTGCTTCAAAATTACGGTAAACACGAGACTGTTGAATGGTGCAACCCAAAAAACTAATTGAGAAAAATTGTGCAACTTTAGTTATAGTTTAGTCATAGTATTTTAATTAGAGTAATAGTTTTAAAGAAATTTGTTTGTGTTTTCTTGTTTTGTTTCTAAAAAACATATTTTTTTTTATTATAATTATACTATAAACAAAGTTGCACTGACACGTCAAAGTCGCACGGTTTTAAGAATGACTTTATATATATTTTCAATTTAAAATAATAATACATTAAATTAAATCATATTTATTTTAGTTAACAATTTAATTTACATTATTTAATTAAATACTTAAATTAAATTATCAAAAATATAAACTATTTTCGATTGTTGTTTTTGTTATATTTTATAACTATAGTTAATAGTGTTATAATTAATGGTTAGTTTAATAGTGTTATAACTCTCACTATTTTAGCATTTATAGTAGAGTGGTGGAAAAAAGACCAGCTTGATAATAATTATAGTAAATTATAACATTAGTTGCTATAATATTGAAAACATTTTGTCTTATTTCAAAAACATTAATTAAAAATCTGAAAAAACAAAAAAATAGAAACTAATAATAAATGGTTGTTTACAATAAAATATAGTTATTTATATCGAGCCGGACTTTTTTCCACCAACTCTATTTTTTTTTTACAAATAAATAAAACCACACATTTAAATTGTTCATTTGTTTTCTTTATTATCACTTGAAATTAAATATCATTACAATTCACTTAATGAATTAATTCAAAGTGTGTTACATACTTTCCTTTTTACAATTTGAAACACTAACCATTAATAATTAAAAGATATAAAATTTTCTAAACCTCAATCTCTTTATCCCAATTCCCATTTTTTTAAATTAAAACTTTCTAAATTAAAAATTATAAAAAACTTCTCGAAGAACCTTTTGAGTTTTCCAGAAGATCTCCGTTTTGTTTTAGGTGAATCAGCTCATCCAAAACGACGTTTTTTAGAAACTTCTTTTCTCAAGAAAGTTACAGTATATATAAAAAGAGTTCCGTGTTTTTTCTAAACTATATTTTATAATTTAAATTATCACGTTTTATAAAAAATGTTTTTTTTTTATTTTCGATTCACACTTTTCTTCTCAAAATTCCACAAAACGCGTTTCACGGTCTTTTCAGAATCACCCACGTGTCCAGTGTTATATAAGCGACCGTATCTCAATCAAAATTCAGAAGAAAGATGTGTGGAGTTGATTACATCAAATGGCTGACTGAGAATTTCACAGCCGAGAGTTTTGTTGTTCAGAGCTCGAACAAGAGTGTTATCAGTGAGATTCTCTCTCTGAACAAATTCTTTGAAAATTACTTGTTTTTGACGTTTAAGACGTATGCCATAGTTCTCAGTGTTGACTCTCCAAATTCAGAGGAGCGCACGTTGAAACATTATAAGGACAAGATCATCTTGACTTACGAGTCATTACTTTCAGCAACGAATTTGCCGGAGTATGACCAGAAATTGCGAGTTGCAAGAGTATCCTTTGTAGAGGAGACTTTGAGTATATGCGACGAGAGTGTCAAGCAAGAATTAACTCAGAAAGCTTTAGAAGAAGATACAGTAATATATCAAATCACTAAAAATGATGGCAATTGGCAGATCCTATTTGCGTGGAAGAACATCGATTTACACAACTTCTTATATCGAGTGGCGTTGGTGTTTGATAAGAGAAACATTCGAATGGATGGGTGCAGCTTTTGCATTGAGAACATCGCAACTACAAACACCATTTTAATTGGGAAATTGAAAATTATAGGAAGTCAGTTGAACGACAACTACAAGTCGGAAGCACTCATGAGGGAGTTCGCAATGCTCAGAGAGTTCTACACAAAGGATTTGATCTTCCAGAAATTGATTGAGACGCGATTCATGTCGATCTCGCGATGCTCTTTGTTGCGAGCGTTTTCGGCATTGGCAGAACAGTTTTTGGCGCAGATTAATGAAGATTTGTACACAAACTATTTCATTCAAGAAGCTTTGACGTTCCACGCAAACATTTCAAAGTTGATCGTCGATGCTTTTTACGCCAAATTTAAGCCTGGAGCTGTCAACTTGGCTATCTACGAGAAGTCCATTAGTGAAATTGAAGAGATGATTTCAAACATCGACAGTGGTAAGCCAAAACACGACACACGACGTAAGACGGTGTTGGCGTGTATTCTTATTTTACTGAAGTCAGTCCTTAAAACGAACTTTTTCTGTCTTTCTAAGACGGCAACGGGCTTTCGACTGGATCCAAACTTCTTAGTTGAACTCGACAAGAGTTTTCCAACATTCAAAAGAGTCGAGAAGTTCCCTGAAATTCCATTTGGCATCTTCTTTGTGTTCACAAGAAACTTCTTTGGGTTCCACGTGCGTTTCAGAGACTTAGCAAGAGGTGGGTTGCGAACAGTAATAACTCGCGACGAAGAGCAAGAGTCCTATGAGAAACCAAAGATGTTTACTGAGTGTTACAACCTTGCCTATACTCAACAAAAGAAGAACAAAGACATTCCAGAGGGCGGGAGCAAAGGGATCATATTCATGCGACCGGACAAGATCGACGAGATGTGCGCCATTCTCCGAAGTAAATTTGAGTTTGAAGGAAAAGAGAACATTGCAGAGAAGATAGCTCAGTACCGCAAAAGTATGAAAGTAGAATACTTGTACTCCGTCCAAAGAAACTTCTTGAAGACGTTTTTGAGTCTATTTGTTTCGGACGAGAATGGAAAATTGAGAGATACTCAAATCGTCGATTACTACAACATCCCAGAGTACATCTACTTGGGACCAGACGAGAATATGCACGACAGTATGATCGAGTGGTTGTCCGAGTATTCCAAGAAGGTCAAATACTTTGCTCGTGGGGCGTTCATTTCTGGTAAAGAGAAGACTGGGATCAACCACAAAGAGTATGGCGTCACTTCATTGGGAGTTTTCGAGTATTTAGAAGAATGTCTGAACTTTTTGAATATCAAGAAGTACACAATGAAAATTAAAGGAGGGCCTAACGGAGACGTCGCGGGTAATTTGATCCATTTAATATATAACAAACACAAAGACCGCTGTACAATCACTTCTATCAGCTCGTCGGCGTGCGCCATCAGCGACAGGAAAGGAATTTCAATTGACGAGTTGGAACGCCTCTTTGTCAACAATTTAGCTCTTCAACATTTCGACCCGATGAAAATGAATGAAGGAGGGTACATGGTATTAATCACCGAGAAGCGGGAAAGTGGTGCATTCCGTGTTGAAAATAAAGTTCTTCGTAAGACTGAGAGTACTGTTCAGACGGAATGGGTTGAGTCGAACAAAGCGATGAGGATGTTTGAGACGATGGTTCATAAAGATGTGACTGATGTGTTCTGTCCATGTGGTGGAAGACCGTTTTCACTCAATGAAGACAACATCGATGACTTCTATGTGAACAATGTGCCAACTTCTAAGATGGTCTTTGAAGGAGCGAATTTATATTTCACTCCAAAAGCTCGAGAAGTGTTAGAAAAGAGTGGCGTGTTGATATTTAAAGATTCGTCTGCGAACAAATGTGGTGTTATTTCGTCGTCGTATGAGATATTAGCCGGACTTGCTCTTGAGGAGAATGAGTTCGTCGAGATCAAAAAGGAATATGCAAAGGCAATAGTCGAGAGATTGAAGGAAGTCGCGCGCGACGAGGCGAAGTGTATGATCGACGCATACAAAAATGGTGAGAAGAGTTTAGTGAAGATCTCTGAAATGGTGAGTCAGAAGATCAATACATACACCGATGGTATCAATAAGTTCTTACAAAACGTCGACTTGAGAGAAGAGAAGAACAAACAGATATTAGACGTCTATATCAGATACTTACCAACTGTTCTCAGAGAAAAGTACTTACAAAAGTGTATTGAAAGAGTCCCACAAATGCATATGAAAGCTATCATCGCTACTTCTTTGGCTACAGGGGTCGTTTATTCTAAAGGGCTTGTATGGGACGTTTCAATTGTTGACATCCTTCCTTTCTTGTTGAGCAAATGAGTAACTGGGCATTCATTCATATTTTTTGTTTTTTAAAAATGTTATTTCAATTATAATGGACGTTTTTAAGATATAGTTTTAATAAGATTATTTTATTAATTAATTAATTTTGATACAAAAATTGAAAAATCACAGATCGAAAAGATCTTTGAGCAATAACAAATTGATATTACACAGTTATGAAGTTTAACATTTTTTTTATTATTTTTTGTTGCTTTATAAGTTGTTATTTTTGTAAAATATAACGGTTTACATTAATTACATTAAAGATATCGGTACTTATATTTATTTGTTTGTTGAATAATAAACTGTTTTTTTATCAATTTTTGTGCCGATATAAATTTTTAAAAACTAACCGTAAATGTACCCATTTTTTATTATTTATCTATTTATTATAGTTTTATTATTATTGTGTTAAAACACAAAATAATATACTATAATAAAAGCTAATTAAAGTTTTTTTAATAAAAAATAAAAAACGTGATTATTAAACTCACCCATTCCCAAAAGTGCGAAAGGTACTTTTTCTTTGCTAAAAATTACCAAATTAATTATACAATACCCTAAAAAAATTAGAAAAAAACAAACATATGTTATTTTAAACTATAAAACTTATATTTTATAAATTAATAAACTATACTTATTGTAAATAGCACCTTTCTATATTTATCATTTTTAAAACAGATAAAAAAATGATAACAATCTATTTTTCTCATTCGACTTTTTCGAATATCATTACAATTTAACTATACTTCAATAAAATTTAAATTATAAATAAACTATATTCAACGCCTCATTGGCACACAAAAAAGACAAGATCTGATTGAATCAAAAAGGTCGATGTCGGAATGGGTTGTGAAGAATTATGGCGATGTGTTTCATCTGACTCACAACGAAGAGTTTCCCGTTGCAAAGTATGAAGATTTCATGGAGCTTAAAAAGATATTAGATGATGACGATGGATGGAATTTAGCTCGCGACAAGAATGGTACCGCCGTCCGGTTCCGTGATGTTTGTTTTCCACCTCTCACCCATCTATTAATTAATAACAGTACTATACCACTAGTACATATCCGAGTTTCTTTCATTTTCTATAACTAACTAATATCAGTATTATATAAATGGTACAGTTTCACCACTCATACCCAGCAAGACAATGAAGAGATTCTTCAAGTGAAGTTCCGCACCAGTGTTTTACACGACATTGATCCGAGTGTTCTTCATGATGTCTTACAAGACCCCGAGTATCGTACATCATGGGATGACTCGATGAAGCAACAAGAGCTTATTGAGCAGTTAGATGAGAATAATGAGATTGGGTATTATAGTGTTAAGATGCCTTTCACAATAAGTAATCGCGATTGGGTCAATATGCGTTCGTGGTGGTTTGATGAGGAGAAAGGCATCTACATCATTATTAATCACTCCGTCGAACATCCAAAGAAACCCGTCCAAAAGGGCTTTGTTCGCGCTAAAAGCTTAAAGACAGGGTATATGGTAGAAAAGACTCCTGAAGGAACTAAACTCTCATTCTTCTCGTGGAACTGCTGGAACGGACATATCCCAGCCCTCTTTGTTAATAAAGCAACTAAAACAATGATGCCTAGTGTCGTCGAAGGACTCAGAAAATCTTGTCTCAAATATAAGGAATGGAAAGAAAACCACCACCCCGAGGAAAGGTACTGGATGAATAAGGGTAACGTCGTGCTCGAGAAACACCAGGTCGAGGAGTAATGGTGACATTTTATGATATTTTGCACACGTTAATTGATTATTTTAATTAACATGATATTTTATTTAACGAAAAAAAGGGTCGGGGTGCTTTGAATATTTTTAATTCGTTAATTTATTAATTTGAATATTGTTGTTTTTTTTATAATAATAACTCGTTAATTTGTTTTTGGTGGTACTAAGAAATATTGAAAATTCCTCATTGTTTTGTAAGGGATTTTTATTATTAAATCTTTATGTAAATTCAAACACAATTTTCAAAAAGTCAAATTTATTTATATTATATTGGTAAAATTATAACAAAATAAATTATAAATATAAAATTTGTTAATAAAACCAGATTGTTACTTTATTATACGATACTAATTTTGAATTTGATACAATTTAGAATTATAAGAGACTGTGATTGTTATTTTATATTAAAAAAAGAACAAATTTCAAACGAAAATGAAAAATAGTGAAAAAAATAATAACTAAACTAAATAGTGAAAATAGAGAACAACGAATGAGTCAACAATATTATAACCAACACGAGACAGAAGAGAAGCAGATGTGCTCACAAATCAATACCAATATTAAAGTATGTCATTTATCTTTTGTAATAAATCCAAACAAATTATATTATTTTTTATTATTAATAATATTATTCTAATCAATTAACAGAACAGAATTTAAAGTACAATCTTATCAACTTAAAAAAGCTCATTCCGTCATTAGAGCTTCTTTCAAAATCACAACATGAGTACACTTCTCATATTAAAAAATTTGAAGAAAAATGTCGTTCGTTGAGTCTTACTGGATTTTTGGAATTGGATCAAGGCATCATTTCAATCTCAGAAACGTTTGATTCATTTGCAACAATTTTAGCTGACAACACAACACGTATTGACGACGTGTTACTTCCGCAATTAAAAAGATTATCTGTGATGTATCCTCAGATTGTCACAAATTTTGAAAAAAGGTACCAAAACGATATGAAACGGACTGACCCGAATTATATAAGTTTAGAACAAAAACTATTCTTTTGGATGACAAAAAGTGACTTTCCACAAACTAATCGAGGTTTTAGAAAGCAATGTATAAATCAAAACTTAGCGGACTCGTCTAAAATGATTAAAGACTTGTACAGTCAAACTTCAAAGTCCTTTTCAGTCTTTTTCAAAGAACAAGTATCTTCTATAAATAGTTTGATGAAACTAATAAGTAATAATGTGGAGTATCTTGATACAATCTCACGAAGAGAAGAAAAGAGAATAGACTTTGACATACAATCTGAAAAGATTGAGAGAATGAGTGAAGATGTGAAGCGCACAGAATGTCAATTATTGTCGAATGAAGCTATTGAAATTGAAATGACAAATGAAGAAGAAAAAAATCACTCTTCTTTTCAAGTAATGACAACAAACGATGAACTTAAAGTGTTTGGTGAAGATGTTGATATAACAACTAAATACCTAAACTTAACTAATAAAGAACTATTTGATATTAATACCAAATCTCCTCATGTCACATCAAAGGTAATTCCTCAAGAACTAAATGATCACAAAAAAATCTCGTACGACGACTCCACACTCAAAACCATTTATCTCTCACAAATTGAAGTCTTTGATTTCATGAATGGGAATCGGCAGAGTCTTGTGGAAACACCAACTTTCTTGTTGTGAATTGACGTTAAGTTATTTATTTGTAATTCACAATAACATTTTATATAACATTTTCTTTCAAAACAATTAAAATAAATCTATTTTAATATTATAATATAATTATAATATTATCTTAAATGGTTGAGATAATATAAATGTTATTCTATTGTTATTATAATATAATTCACTGGCTGTTTGGTTAATACAATAGCGGGAAATATGAGGTTATTTAAAAAAACTAGAATTTATAATTGATAAATAATACATAATAAAAGCAGAACTGAAAAATCAACTTTTTATTTTTTATTTTTCTATTAAAAACCAACCAAAACGGGAAAACCTTAAAAAGGAAAAAGTAATTTATATTATTAATAAATTAAACCAACTATTTTAATAAAGAAAACGAACCAATAAGAATGAAGCACTTATGCAAAAAAAGTCAACCAATGAAAGCGAACTGCAAAAGGGCAGCGATTGGTTTATTACTAGTAAAAAGAGTTAAATTAAATAGTAACAATTTTTTTGAAAAAAACTATTTTAAAAATACCAAAAGGAGCAATCTGACGAGTAGAGAGAAAGAAAAGAGTAATACTACGGAAAGAATTGACAGAAAAGGGTGGAAAACCCGGGAGATAAGGGAGGACAACCAAAACTGGAAACTAGCAATAAAGCAAAAAGAGCTAGAGGAAAAGGCGAAAGGCGAAGAAAAAACAACTGGAACTTGAAAACGGTCAAACGGCAATGAGTGAGAAGCCCACATCCATTAAATTAGTCGTCGTAGGCGATGGAGCCGTCGGGAAGACGTGTCTTCTGATATCATACTCGATAAAAAAGTTTCCGGAGGATTACATCCCAACTGTCTTCGACAATTATGTTGTCACGTTAACCGCTGGGTCTCGACAAATTCAACTTGCTTTATGGGATACAGCGGGCCAAGAGGAATATGATCAATTAAGACCACTGAGTTACTCATCCGCATCGATTTTCTTAATTTGTTTCTCCGTCACTTCGTCTGTCTCGTACGACAACGTGTTAACAAAATGGCATCCAGAAGTCGTCCACTTTGCTCCTAAAGTCCCTATCATTCTCGTCGGAACTAAATTGGATACTAGAAATGATCCATCTATCGTTCAAAGACTTGCTGAACAAGGAATGACCGTCATTAACACCGCAAAGGGCGAGGAACTCAAAACCAAAATTAAGGCCGTCAAGTACTTGGAGTGCTCGGCTAAGACTGGAGAGAATCTCAAAACCGTTTTCGATGAGGCAGTCAAGACAGTCTTGATGAATAAGCCCGCCCAAAAATCGAAATGTGCGCTTTTATAATTCACTTTTCAATACGAATTGCGGGAGATACACTCGTTACTTCTTGTTTTCTTGTTTTATTTTATTATTATTATTCTTTTTGACACTTGTTGAGATTGTTTATTGTATTTATTTATTTGCTAAATCGCTTGGATTATATCACTCATTGCATTGAATGAAATCAAGCTCTTCTTTTTATTCATAATTTCATTTTGAAGATGAGAATTGATTAGTTACTTTGTTATTTTAAATTAAAAAATATATAGTACTATTCTATTTAGTTCAATTTAATAATTATTAATTATAGAAGTGTTAGTATTATTATCAATTGATTAATAAATTAATAAAATATAGTTTTTTTTCTGGGTATGTTGTTATTTCAAATAAAAAAATAAATAAGTTATTTCTGTCATACTATCATTATACTATATTTGTTAGTAACTAACTTAGGAGAGCTTACTCAAATAGGTCATTTGAGTAAGCAGAATAATTTATTTTTAGAAAAATAAAAATTCTTTTAATTAAAATCTTTCATCATTGTTTTACTAAACAATTCACTTTTTTTGTGATGTAACAACAAAGTAACAAAAAACTTATTAAGTATTATTAAGCTTTTAATTTGTGGAATGTTAAAGTTTTACAATCATCATACGGAGAATAAACACATTTCAAAGTGTCAGTTGAACCTTTCAACAAGACATTTGACGATGATAATCAATTTAATAAATCTTCGAATTCTGCTTTTTTAAAACCTGCTGACACATGGAAAATTTATTGTCACCAAATTTGTCGATAAAATTCACTCTTTCTTCACTTTCGACAATTTTCTTTTCAATTTCACCATTATCATTGAAATTGTTCTTTATTCCATGAAATCAGCACAACCTCATTTTGTCGAAAATGTTCACTAAATCAGTTTTTGTTGAGGTTTTGACTGGAATTTACTAATTAAAAATTGATTCATTTCAGTTAAAACAATAGTGTTTTCATTAACTTCCATTTTTTAAATCACCATTACCATCAACTAAATGAAACAATAATTGTGTATTTGAATTGTAATAAGATTTGAGACCAACAACTTCTTTTTGTTCGTTGTAAGATTGGGTTGTTTGTCTTTGAACTTTGTTTTTTTTTGCCTTCCCACTTTATTTGTTTTGTTTCAGTGTTAACCAAAGTTGAGTTGCGCCCAAGTGTTGGCTTCTTCGATGTTTCATTGTCAATCATTGTGTGTTTGGTGTGTTTGGTTTCTTTTGTATTTTGATTGTTTTTATTAAAAAACAAGTCTCGTATATTTTTCTGTTCGTCAAACCATATTGGTACATTTGTTGAGGTCATCGTGTCTCTTTTTGAAATTAAAGTAATTATATGATTATTTGTTAACATTAAAACAGTAAAAGATTCAGCCTGTCAAATGACAGCTAAATTCAAAAAAAATCTATAATTAGTTAATTGATAAAAATAGTTTTTTACTTGAAAATCCATCTTTGAGTAAGCTCTCCTTAAGATAGAATAATTATAGAAATAACTTGATAATTAAATAAAAAACAATGGTTAATTGTATTGTTATTTAATAAATTAGTAAAATCAATTATACTATATAGTTTGTTCTTAAGAAAGAAAAATCTTTTTATAAAATTAAAAAACTTCTTATTTATTTTTTTCTAATAAATTATTTCACACTTAAATCCCATTGAACAAAATTCAAATTGAGAAAAATTCGGGAAATCTTTGATTTATAAAATACATTCCCAATTTTTAGAAGTTTATCAAATGCTTTACAATACACAGCCAAAAATGGGAAAATATTGAAAAAATAAACGAATATCCTGATATAAACGGGTCACCGGGTGACTCACGCCCAAAACAAGGGTGATATTTGAAATGTTCAAAGACATTACTTTTACTTAAAGCAGTAGAAAAAAAAGAAGAAACAAAGGAATAAGAAAAATGGAAGAACTTCAACTCAAAAACAGAGGGATTTATGTTGTCTGTGTGTTCTGTAGTTTACAACGAGAAGCTTTATACGATGAAATATCCTATTACCTGTGATGAGGTGATCAAAGAATTAAAAATCCAAGGACAGCCGGCGGTTATAGTTGGCTTAAAAGTGAATGGGATAGTGCAGAGCATCAACTCCTATGTGACCACATCGAGGTGTACGGTGTCCCCATGTTACCTTCGTTGTGTCGAAGGACAGAACATGTGTCGCCGAAGTGAACTTCTCTTGACAAGATATGCAATTCATCGCCTCAGTCCCGACGTGGAGATGACTATAGTTGGCGAATATGGTGATTGCACCAAATTCCAAATGAAACCAATACCCAAAATCGATACTGCCGCGTTAAATGAAGAATTCAAACACCTCCATACTAAGCAAATTTACTCAGTCTCACTCCCTCATAACTTTCTTAGACTTTGCTTCGTCGAAACTCATCAACCACATTCAAATTCATTAATCGAATCGTTGAATTCACCAGCGTATGACTGCGCTATGATCGACGATTTCCCTGTTCTCTCTTTGTCTCAGCCATATCTCTCCAACCCTGACATGTTACAAGAGATCTCCACATTAGATGTGGAGAACACTGCAGACTCATCTTATTTGACAGTCCACTTCCCTCCACTGATCCACACTGATTCATTCTTTTACGAAGACTCCCCCGTCGTGACTTGTCCTTACCCCCTTGACCCGGGTTTGGATGTCGGGGCGGTGAACAAAAGTGTTGTACAGAAGCAACACAAAGAGAGGATGATGGAGGCGGAGAACCACCACATTCAACAACTTTCGAAGTTGATTGAAATCGTTCAGACGAAGAAGACTAAATTAGTTTTAATAGCTGGGCCGAGTAGTTCTGGGAAGACGAATTTTTCGCATAAAGTAGCTCTTGGGTTACAAGGGGTTGGGTATTCTCCGCTTGTCTTATCTATTAATAACTATTATGTCCACAAGAATTACTGTCCATTGGACGCCAATGGGAAACGGGACTGGGAGTGCATTGACTCGTTACGACTGGGACTTTTGAACGACCATTTAACAGCGTTATTGAAGGGCAAGGAAGTTGTTGTGCCACAATTTGACTTCATCACGTCGACGCCGATCAGCACGAAGGGGAAAACTGTTAAACTTGCGCCGAATGGGATTATAGTGATGGAGGGGATCCACTGCTTGAATGAACGACTGACCGAAAAAGTCCCGCATGAGAAAAAGGTGAAGGTCTTCATAGCGCCGCTGTCGAACGGGATTTGTTTAACGGACGACGTGATGCTGGACAACAACTTTTTGCGAATACAACGGCGCATGACACGAGATAGTCTTGAAAGGGGGTATACTGCAAAGAAGACATTAGACATGTGGGATCAAGTAGCTGGGTCTGAAAAGACTTGGGTGTATCCTTTCATCAAAGATGCTGATTTTGTGTTCACGACGTTCTTAACGTACGAAGTGAATGTGTTGACCACATTCTCATTGAATTTACTTCGTACAATAGGGAATGATGATGTGTCGTATGGATTTGCACAGTCGTATCTGCGTCTCTTGTCATATTATGTGACTCTCGACTCTGCAGACGTCTCGAAGAATTCAGTCATGAGGGATTTCATAGGGGATGGCGTGTTTTGATTGATTTGTTGGGGATTTACTATTTATTTACTATTTATTTACTATTTGATTGATAAAGATGGGAACACTCACTTACCAATTCAAATTAGCTTTGTCATTGCTTGGCTTCCTATTCGTCAGCGTAACAAAGACTTTGTCTTTCACTTGGTTGTAGAAGATGCGATTCTTTTCTTCGACTTCTCGACTCCTCATCACGGAGCGCATCTTCTCGACACGCTCCGTTCGTTCTTTAGGTAAACACTTTATTTGTCCACCACCACATAAACACCCCCCGGGACATGCTTCTACTTCAATGAAGTCAAATTTACTCTTTGTCTTTGTCATGCGAACGACATTTTGAATATTTCTGAAGCCATAGACTATAGCAACATGGCTGTTCTCGAAGAAGTCTTTATTGCGGAGTGTTGTGAAAGTGTCTGGTAGTCCTTCTCGTAGTGCAATATACTTCCCGGGCTCATTCAAATACCCAAACTCTCTAATTCCCTCCCCCACTTTCTCGATCTTTTCTTCCCAATTGATGATGTCATCTATTTCGTTCGTTGTTAACACACAATCAACACTCTTCAGCCCATTAATCTCTTTGGTGGCTTCCAGCTTTTTATCATAACACATTTGGACGGAGACGTGGTAGACGTCCGACGTTGCCTTTAACAAGATGCCTTTGATGGTCATTGCTGAAGCGGTCTTGCCTAAATAAGGGAAGATAGTATCCCCTTGCATCTTCTCCGCATAACATAACCACCCCGGACATGTTGTCGTCAGATACACTTTCTTCTCCTTTTGGTGTTGTTTGTACTCTTCGTACATCGACAAGAGTGAGACGTCCATTGCATCGGTCAAATCAACAACTTCACTGACGCCCTCTCGTTTCATGGCTTTTTCAAGGCGTGCGACTACCATCCAAAACGGTTGATTGTGATACGCGGAAAGACTCGCAATGACTTCGTCCGCGTATGAGCAGACAATTCTCCGCGTCGTTGGGAGCGTCTTGAGAGTGTTCTTGAATTGCTTGAAACCTTGTTCCTCTATCAAAATGGACTCCGCAGATGTAATACACCCACTGCACGCTAAACAGTCCTCAAGTCGCACAGTTACCCGTGTTAACTGCGTCGTGTTTTCTTGTGGGGTAGTGCCCTCTATCATAATTTTAGACTGTTTTTTTTGCGGCGCTTTGTCCTCTGTAAGTGGCATAACGCAGACTTGGCTTGGCGCAATATAGTCGTCGATGCCTTGAAGTTGTAACCCAACAGACAAACTCATTTTCTCGCTTTCAAGTCTGACTTTTCTAGTCCTTTTTATTGACATCTTTGTTTTCTTTCATCGAGTCGGTAATTATAGTATAAGTTAATAAAAAATGTTAATAAATATAGTATTACTTATTATTAATATTAATATAATATAGTAATAGTAAATAATAATAATAATAATAAAGTGATGTTCCAGAACAACAAGTTAACATAAGAATTGTGATACCTCCACACCAAAAAGTGTTGATCACCTCAAGAAGTTTAAAACAAATTATTCCTTTCAACAAAAAGCGTTTTGTCCAGAACACTTCATTACATTTGGACATCTTCACATCCATTAACGAGTAACCATTTATATATAGTTTTTTTACTAAACATTATAATAAAATGGTTGTATTTGGTTTTGAGATTTTTTTCTTTATAATTGCGGGTTTTGACATTTTTAAAAAATTTTTAAAAACGTTTTTTTTTGGGACCCTACATTGACCACCACTACCACCTTTACCAAAAAAAATATTTGCCGCGAGTGTTTTTAAAGGAAGTCCACTTTTCAGCCACTGTTTGTGAGTCCCCATGTCACCCACTTTCCTTGTCCGTACTGTGTGGACGCGGATGTGGTTCCCCCCCGCTTGCGGGGGGGTCAGGGGGGATCCGCGCCCCAAGGAGGACTTGGAAAGTGGGTGAACGGTGCACAAACAGACTGTTAGAGTGTGTCTTCAGAGCCTTCTTTTAGATAATCGTCTTACTCGGTTTCCACTAAATCAAGGTGAATTTTCGGCATTTTTTGAATTCGGGAACCAGACCTAATATTATCCCAGTTTCCCATTTACTATAATTTTAATTTGAATATGATTCGAAATAGAAAAAATAAATCTATTTTAAGAGGTGGTGGTCAATGTAGGTCCCCGTTTTTTTTTGATTGTTTATAGAAATATTATAAGTGATTATTATTCCCGTTTTAATGGGGGGTTTGAAACCAAAATCACAGGTGTACGACCATTTTTTGATGGTCTTTATAGAAGAACTGCACACATATACAACAGAGAGAAAGACAACAGTTTACTTATATTTTGCCTCGACCGATGGGACCATCAGTTTGATGACGCACATCATTGGTGCGACTTCTTTCTTGTCGAGTAAGTTGAAATTTGCTGCGAAGAGGATGAAGTGCTACATATGAGTGATTTTTGGCCTACTGATACCGATAGCAGAGCAATTGTGTATAGAACAAACCTTAAACGATGAATTGAGGTGTGGTTCTTCTTCGAGTTGAGTGATTTGGTTCAAGTGGTGTAAGTAAATATGTGCGTAGATTCTAAAGAGTCTTTTAAAGATCATTTGGACGACTTTGGGGAACTTTTTGGGGAAAGGGACACCAACGGTACACGGGAACACCGCCTCGTCGTCTAATTGTTGTTGGACGTAGTCCAGGCACTTATTTATATATTCCTTTGCACACAAACTTTGTAATTCCTTCCCTTCTTTCCATCGATACTCAAACGAAGGACCGGCGCACATCATAGGACATGTCTCTTGGGTACATCCTTCTTCTACGGAATTAAAGAGAAGTTCCGCTTCTTTGAAGAAGTCGTTGCAATGGACGGCAAGCCACTCATTCAAGTCCTCCCCGGGAGGAAGTAAGACCGCTTGTTCGACTTGTCCGATCCCTAAAGTCTTCTGGACGTGAGCTTCTAAGTATATCTGTTTGTCGGTTTGCGGCTTTTTGACATGGCGGATGGTCTTTCCTCCTTTGAACATCACTTCTGTGAATTTTAAAGTTTTTTGGAGTTCTTTGAAGTTCGCCATTCCAACAGAGTAATCTTCGGCTTTTTTCTCTCTCAAATCTTTTCGTTTGAATTAAACTATTGAAGACATTCTTTTTACTATTAATGTTTGGTTTTTATTGTTATTGGGGGGTTTTGTGTTTTGTAAGGAAATTATTACAGTCTTTTTCTTTGTTTTAAAACCAGAAAAACTAAAAAAAAATTATTTAGTTGTTATATTTTATTAGCAAGTTATAGTTCAAATTTAATAATATTTCAAAAAAGTTTGACGTTAACTATTTTTAGTTAATTTACTTGATTATTAAGTTCTATATCGTATATAAATATGGTTATAAATAATAACTTTTATTTATAATATGATGTATTTTTATTATTTATTTATTTTGTTATTAAAAATAATACCAAAATTATAAAAATGGTTTTATTATTTTTTATATTTTTTAATATTCAAACCATATTTATTAGAAATTCAAACAAAGTTAAGTTAAACTATTAATTAAATTAATTAAACTACCAACCTTTTTAACAAAGTATTGTAACCACTTAATTATAATAAAATAAATTATAAAAATGTTAATAATTCAATTTTTAACTCGCCGACGTAAACTATAAAATATATTATTAATAAACCATACTATTTATTAGAATCTATCATCCAAAGAACCCACAAACAAGAACACTCAATCAACTATTAACTATCGAACACACTCATTTCACATATTAGACACTATTTGGTTGAACCTTTGAGCTGCTTTAAAGAATTGGTCCATACACTCCCCACTGATATATGATCTCACATCATTTTCCAAGTCAATAAAAGCTTGATTAATCAACGCTGGTCTATTATATTCGGCAATTGCTGTGTTCTTAACCGTTTTGTATACATCAGGGAAAAGCACGATACATGGTAAGAGTGCCTTAGAAACCATAAACAAGTCCATTTCGTTATTGATCAAATTATGGACGAGTATCTTGACTATTTCGAATATTGTGTTACTGTAATTCACCAAGAGCCCGAAGTAATCCATCACTGGTGAAGTCAACACTCTGACCTTCTTTAAAACAGTTCGATTTGACGCGTACAAAATGAGTTGTTCGAGCACTCCCAAGACGTCGACGGCCTGGTCCTTGAGTGCTTCAAATATGAACGTGACGATCTCGCCCAAGTGTTCTCCAAACAAGTCGTCGCCCGACACAAAGCCGATGTGGCATAACATTGAGAATAAATGCTTTGCAAACTTCGGGTAGACTTTGACTTGATTCCACCCCCCTCTTAGGCACAAGCCAATTAAGTATTGCATGACATTGTGATGTGTTTTGTCGTTGTACAAAGTTAATGCTCCGAATGGGATTGTGTCACTCGATAGCATCGAAGTGATTGCTCGCATACTTTTTTGCAGTAACGAGACTTGGTCGTCTTCCTTTTCTCGATCGATCTTAGGAAGTATGACTGTGAACGCGTCACAGATGTCGTGGTACAAAATCAGTGCGCACGTGTTTGCAATTGGTTTTGTGTATAACTGGTGAAACCGTTTGATATCTGCCAAGTCCGAAATGAATGAGAGAAGCACGTCTATAGCGCATTGTGAGAATCCCGCCATTTGTTTATGGACGTGATTTAAAAAGCCCAAGTAATGTTTGTCATTGCTTTGAAGGGATAACAAGAATGTGTTGTATAATATCAACTCCGTCTCATAGTCGTTCTGTTTAATCCCAAGTGTTGTTTCTATCATTTGCAGTAGTGCTGTCAGTGATTTGAAATTCATGACTGACGCGACGTTGCATGTGATTTGAAAGAACAAGCGTTTCGTGTTCTTATTCTCGTTGTTGACAATACCAAACTGCTCTATTAATACATAGCTGTAACACTCAATTTAGTGTCAAAGTCTTATCCATTCAAACTATTAATTAATTAAGAAGGTAACAAACAACTTGTGGCCGTAACAAAGAATCCATGAAGTTGGTCTTCACGGCTATTTGGCAGATCTTCTCGACTTGTGTCAGTCGCACAATGATATTTAAAGAGTCGTTCACCAGTCCGACGTTCTTCTGATAGATTTGGATGTTACTCATTGCTTTCGTTAACATGTAAGTGGCAAGATTTGTGACGGAATCGACTTGCAAGACTTCGATAACAATCTTTTCCATTCGACTTGATATCGATTCATTCAGAAATACTGTGTTAACCACCTCAAAAAACTGCATGATCGCTTGCTCAAGTTGATACGTCCCATACCCAAGACCATACGCAGAGTATTTACTAATAGAATTCACTATATTAAACCCTATCCGTAACATCTTCACATCAAGTCTCTCTTGTGTCTCATCAGTTCGCGCGTCGATGTGATGATTAATAAGAATCCCTATGATCCGCATCGCCATCGCAAGTTTCTCCGTTTGGTGTTGCACCCCAGACTCTCCAATGTGTTGTGTCCTCATCGCCTCAATTTCGTTGAAACATTTCAACACGACGTTTTCGAGAGTGTCCACCGTCGACTTTAAATCAACTCGCCCCATCTCTCCCAAATCATCAAATAACACTTCGACGTTTTCCTCCTCTAATATCTGTGGCGCTTCAAACGCTCCTTGCATCACATACAACGCAGCCTGCACCACGGCGTTCCTCACAAAAAGCATTTCTTCACATTCGGAGGCACGGAGCCCCCACTTAGAAAACACTGAAAGGAAGTAATAGAGACTTGTGACGTGTTCCTGGATATTAAGACACAAATTTCTGACTAATTGAAGAGCTGCTTGTAAATGTTTCATCGGAGAGACACTTCGAGTTAACAAGACCTTTTCTAGAAACATTCCCGCTTTGTGTGCAGACTCCTCGTCGTTTGCTCTTTGACAAAGCATCCCGCCATATTCGCTTAGGAACTCATTGAAATTGGTCCGCGTGCTCCCCATGAACAAATTCTCTCGCATCGACGCAAACGTTATTAAACACTCCACAAGCGCTCCAAGGTGGACGCCGGGCACATACAACGCGACTAACTTCTCTTTCAACGACACACTTGACAACGCCGAAGAAAATGAATTTGGGATTTGTAACACGGTGGAATCTGTTTCTTCAAACCCACATGTAAATGGATATTCCAGAGCAGTGCTGAGTGTTGTTAAAGCCACTGCAGCGACCGGGTGTAACTCTCTAATTTGTGGATTGATTGATCGCAAGACGTTGATTGCCGTCTCGACTATCCGTAACAAACAAGACCCTTTAAATGTTTGTATCAGATACCCGTCAAGCTGTTTTGTTTGGACAAAGACCTCAACTAAGACTTTAAGTAAGTACAACATCCCACTCTTCTGGTCCAGAGTATACGACGATTCACATAATGAGCACAACTCCGACACAGACGGAATTAATGAGTCGGCGTTGATCTGCCATGACCTTACTAACAATTGGCAATACACTTCGGTATACAACGAACCAACTTTTAACGCGTGTGCAGAGAAGATGTGTAAGAGCGGTTCGACCTGTGCATTTGGGATGACTTTGATCAGTCGCTTTTGGAACAATTGCGAGAGAAATTGTGACGCAAAGACATCAGTGCTCGCAACAAATTGTACCAATTGCTCTAACACACCAGGAGGGTATGGAAATGGCATAGTAATCAATATGTTTAAACTACTTGGCAAATTCGGGTTTGTAAAGTACGATGTGCAACTTTGCTCAAATGTGGGCTGGTCTTTTAGGCTGTATTGAAGTGTTTGGATATCCATTCCTTATATCGTTTCTTTTCATTTTCCAGTTTATATACAGACGGTATATACTAATGAGATAATTTATTTAACTATAATTTTGGGTTTTCAATAGTTTATCTTTTGTGATTGTTTTAATTCGTTAATCATCTCATTTTTCAGGATATTTAGTAAGGTATGTTATAATAATAATAATTATAGTTTTATTATACTTTAATTAACATTAATTTGGAAAAGTAATATTTTTAAAATTGGGGTTGAACTATAACTTATTAATATAAGTTATATTAATAATAATATTATTATAATTAATATTTTTAATATTAATAATATTAATAAGTTAATATTATTAATTTATAAATAATAGTTAATAAGTGTTTTATTTATTAAAGATTAAAATAACTATAAGAATAATATTAACATCATTCATTAAAGTTTATTATTAAACAAATTATAAATTAACTATTATTTTAGTAGAGTTAAAAATGCAAAATAGAATTAAAACCCACATTTTAATAGTAAAACAATTAACACCAATTAGTAAAAATTTTAACAGAATTACTCGAGTTTTTCGTCATCGATCAAAAAGTCGATGATTTTGACTTTAGTGAATGGGCCGTTATTCTTCACTTTTTCGTCTATAAAGAAGTTAACGACTTCATTTAAAGTCGTCTTATTAGCCTTATTCAAAATATTAGCAAACCCAGTCAAAGTGGCTTCTCCAAGGATCGCTTTGACTGTTTTGAGCTTTGCGTCAGTCACTTGCGAGAACATCTCGACACGAATGTCTTCGGGGACCTTCTTCAAGAAGTGCTCCGCTCCATTCTTTTTAATATACTCCACTATTTTACTCTCTAAATTTTGTCTGAACTTGGTCTTCGTCGTTTCGCTAGTCAATTTGTCGACTATTGTCGAGAGAGAAGAGACCGTTAAGTCCTCTAACACCGAGATCAACCCAAGCTCCGTCGAGTGTTTTGTCTATTGGTTATTTATATTATTTTTTACTATTAAAAATGGTTCTTTGTCTATTAGTTTTATTCCTTGAAACAAACTATTAAAGAAATAGTTTCGGATTTTTTCATGGAGGTAAGATCGTCATTGGTGACTAATTCGCCTATTATATGCAAAGTGCTGTTGTCAATCTTCTCAAGAATTTGATCGACCTTCATTTGAGTGTAATTTTGAAGTTCGATAAACATATAAGTTCACGAAAAATGGGGTTCGTTTCTCTCTTTTTGGTGGAACGAGATTGTATCTTATTTATTTAATTTTCGTTTGATTTTAATAATAATACATTTACTATACAATTCAGGTTAAATGTTTCCTAAAAAAGAGAAAACGAAAGAAAAACCACACAAAATGTTTTTTATCTTTTTGGGAACAAAAGTCTTTGTATTAAAATACAATATAGTATAATTTTATTATTTATTTAGTTTCAATGAAAAAGAAAAAAATGTATTTCTAATATATATGTACTATAATATAATCATAATAAACAACTATAATTATGAACTAGTAAAATAATAAATTAATAAATTACTTAGTAAAACAAATTTTAAATTATATTAAATTGATAATAATAATTTTTATTAATCATTAAATAATTATGAATTATAGTATTATACTAATATTATTTTTATTATACCAAAACAAAGACATTTTACTAATAAATATAATAGATTTAAAACTATAAAAGAAGACATGCAATTCATATTCCGGATTCCACCTGCTCTTCAAATTATTTTATCAGTAGTCTTAGTGAACAACACTGTCTTATTTACGACGTGTTACAAGTATATAATGAGTGCGTCATCCTTTTCTTTTTTCAAAGTGAATTGGTTTTTTTCGTACGCCGTTGCAAGTATGTTATTTGTGGGTGGTGTGACTTCGACGGTACTTTTTCACTTCAAGAAGCGAATCACTTTCTTAATCAGTGGAATAGTTCAAATTATAGTTTTTGTCATGTCTTTAGTATTTGTTATAGTTTCACTGGTTGTGTTATTCCAGACGGAGACTCGAGTGAAGAGTTTTTGGTACGACTACGACGACGATAACAAAAATGAAGTGCGGAAGTTAATCGAGTCGTATTGGCGTTGTTGTGGGTATGATGTCATCTCACCGGCAGACTGTGGGTGTACAGATGATACGTGTTATAGTCGACTCTGTCAACAATACTTCCAAAGTCCTTTTACAGAGACAAACATTCTTCTTTTCGTATTCATGCTCTTCGGGGCAATTTCGTCGTTTCTTGCTATGGCATCCATCATCGCGCTCTTCTTCAAAAAGGAGAAACAGACGTATGTCAAGTTCAGGTAAGATACTTCTCCACATTGTTATTTTTAACTCGTTAATTTATAATAGAATTTAACGTTCTTTTGTATTGTACTTTATACTTTATTAATTAATTAATTATAAATGATGGTATAACTCTGTTTGGCAATTTATTCTTGCTCTCTAATACATTTATAATACTTTATTAAATTCAAATAGATTAGAAATAAACTATTAGTAAATAACTATATTATACTATTCAATTCCCCACACCAACAGAGAAAGACAAAAAGACTTGAAAACCAAATACACAATGAATGAGACACACCCCGAGGGGCTGAAAAGAGAAACTGAGACTTTATTAGACAACTCGATGCGTGCGTTTCAAGCGATGTTAAAGGAAATGTCTGTGGCTCCTGTTGGCAACAAAGACGAGATATTGAAACGGTCAAATGAGTTCTTGGATTATTTAACCGCTGCGGAGACGAAGTTTAGACAGTTTGAGAAGAGTGTATTTGATGAAGAAGAGGAATCAAATGGGCAAATGGCAGTCGTCCAGCAGAATCTTCAGTCTAAGGTCAATCAATTGAATTATTACATGGGAGAACTGGCAGAGATACAACGAGAACTTGGGACCAATTAGTTGTTATCCTTAGTCTTGTAGCCACATAGAATCGGTCGAATACTATTAATTGAATATTTAACTAGAATGAACTATATTCAATAGTTAACCCACTCCTCTGCTTTTGAACTATTGTTTATTAATTAAATGTATTAACAAATAAATTACTCTAACAATGCCATTGTCATTCTTCTTCTCTCCATTTTACTTTGTTTTCTCAGGCCTTTAAACACCTCGACGTTATTATCAGCTGATACCGCACATACATCGCACACTCGTTGTAGCATTGGTCTTGGCGGAATGATCTTTCTTTTAGTCGAACACCTATAACACACAATAAACCCGCACCGTTGACAGTGATACTTCGTCCAGAAGAGTCCAAACCTTCTCTTACATATATAACACTCATCCGCTTGTTGATATGGTTGATACAGTGGAGCGTCAAACCCTACTGCATCCACGGTGTTTGAGAACTTTTTGTCCTTTTCTTTAGCCGCGGCTATCTTCACGTCGTTCTCCCACATGTTCTTACTTTCCTCGTCTTGGCACACAACCACAAAGCTTTCATATGGCGAGAAGATGTTAAACAAATTGGTCTCGACGCCGTCCTCCACTCGCACTGCAGCTAACTTGAGGTATCGATTCGGGTAAAACAGTCCCATTTGCATGCGGCCGTACACTAACAAGTCGCTGAAGAGGAAGAAGTACCTCTTCTTCGCCTGACTCTTCCCAAGCTTTTTCAACTCGCCTTCTCGGATCAAGTAGCGGTGCGCCTCGACAAGTTCCAAGAAGTATGGGCCCTCGCAGAACCTCTTCTTGATTGAGATCAGTTTCCGTCTGTTCGTCTGCAACTTGACTTCGTCGTTGATGTCCTTCGCAAGTGCTTTAACAGATCCAACAAGTGAACTGATCTCGTCCAAAAAGGGATCTTCCTTTTTCGTGTGTTTTAAGAAGTCCGAGAGGAGTAAAGAGTACCTTGGGACGCGTTGGATCGGTAAGATCAAGTAACTCCGCAACGGTTGAATCTGTTCATCACTTGTAGTGTTCTTGCGCGCACACTCTTTTAAAAACTTCTCGCAGTTCTTCATGTGTTCGACCTCATCGACGGCTTGGAGCCCCGTCGTGTTGTTCCCAACAAACATGCGGTAGACGCGGAGGTACGGCAAAGTCCCGAGAAAACACGACGAAAGCCCAACGACAAGTTGGTGTTTCTTATCAAGCTCTTCTAAGCTTTGGAGGAAGACTTCGTTGACGCTGACGATGTCTCTGAAAAAGAGAAAAATGGCTTTGTATAACGTCGGTGGGAAGATCGGGGGATTCGCTGTTTGTAATGGGTCCGCATACACTCGCAAACATGTCTTCAGCATTTTGACGTATGTCCTCTCAGTGGACAACAACTCCTGAGACACTTTTTGTCGGTAGTCGTCCACGGGTAAGATTTGTGGTGTAATTTTGTCTTGTGGGGAAATGGGCAACGCGTGCGCCTCAATCGAGTGAAAACACACCGAACACCTCTCGTCGGGTAAATCAGTCATCCCTTCAAAACACATGCAACTACAGTTTTTAACACGGCACCGACCTTCACGCATAAGGATGAATGATGGAAGAGAGTGTGGTGATATTGGGCTCTCCATCAATAATACAAAGTAATTCAACTTTTCGAGTTTTAATTTGGTCGAAGATTGAATTTAGTTTATTGTATAGTATTTTTATTATATGAAAATGTATCTAGTTTTACTTTTATAATTCGTATTTTTTTGATTCAACTGTTCGGCGACTTTTTTAGTCTTTTCAAAAGTCGCCAAACAGCTATTTTCTAAATCATTTAAAAAAATAGACTATTTATGGTTGTTTTGTAGTTAATATATAACTGATATAAGTAATAGTTAAACATTAAAAATATATAGTTAATATATAAACTAAGAAGCATTAGTATTATATAATAATATGAATAGTAATACTTTCATAGTAATAATTAATAAATAATTTATTTAAATTTTGTAGTATAGTTGAATAATATAAACTTATTAATATTTTTATTAATACAAACTATACTGAAATTTAAATGAGTCCATTTCTTTTAAAGAGTGCATCTGCGTTCTGTTCTCGTCCTCTAAAGTTTTTAAAGGCGACGTCTGCTGGTACTGCATTACCCACGCCCAACACACATGTTCTGAATTTGTCGCAGACTTCTTTATTAAATATTCCCTTTTCTTTAAACAACTCAAAAGCGTCTGCTTCGAGTACTTCTGCCCATTTATATGAGTAATACGCACACGCGTACCCATTCAATTGTTTAAAGAGGTGTATGAAAGTTCTGACATTCGAGAGTGAATCAACGTCGTAGTCTATTTGATACTCTTTTGTCACTTCCTTGATGAATTGGTCGATCGGCTTTCCACTCTTCAAGTAGTTCAAGTGGAGTTCCAAGTCCATTTTACCAAAAGAGAGTTGTCTCATCATGTAATACGCACTCATAAAGGTCTTTGCCTTCATCATTTTGTCGTACAACACGTCGGGTACAATTCCACACTCTTTTCCATCGATTTTGTACCTTCCAATGATGTCGAAGACTTCTTTCTCGTACGTCCAGTTCTCCATAATCTGCGACGGCAACTCGACAAAATCCCAAGCCACTTTCAGTGCAGTGAATTGTGGATATTTGGCTTCAGCAAGTAATGTGTGGATCAAATGGCCACACTCGTGGAACAGTGTTTCCACTTCGTCGTGACTGAAGTGTGCAATTCCGTCCTCTCCTGGTGGTGTCAAATTCGTCACAACAACACACACGGGTCTTACTGTTCCATGTGGCATTCTTATGATTTCGTGATATCCGCCGCTTCGTTTTCCTTTCCTTGGAAACAAATCAAAGTAGACACTTCCCAAGAAGTTATCGTTTCTATAGACTTCGTAGTACTCGACACCGTCTGCCCATACAGGCACTTCCTTCTGTTTAAAAGTGACAGAGTACATCTTTTTAAACACTTGGAAGATGCCATACAAGACGTTCTTCGAGTTAAAGTACTTTCGAAACTCCTCTTCATCCAACTTGTAGTCTTGTTCCTTAATAATATTAATATAGAAGCTGATATCCCAAGGCTTCAATTTGTCTTGTCGTCCAGTCACTTGAGCTTTTGTTTCTTGAAGTCGTTGAACGTCTTTGTCGAAGAACCTTTGCGTGCGTTGGTGGAGTCCCTCGACAAAGTGCATTGCGTTCTCCCCGTTCTTCGCCATTCGGTTCTTCAGAATGAAGTCGGCGATGGTATTGAACCCGATGATATGTGCCATTTCTTCTCGCAACTGTAATATCGAAATGACGTTCTCACTGTTATCAAATTCTCCAAAGGAGCACACTCTGTTATACGTTTCAAACACTTTTTGTCTCAATTTTTGGTCTTTACAGTACGTCATCACTGCGATGTAATTCGGCGCTTGCATATTAATGGCATACCCACTCATCTTTCTCTCTTCTGCTTCTTTCTTAAATCGAGCTATAGCTTCCTTAGGAACTCCATCAAGTTCGTTCACATCTTGCACCTCAACGTATGTCCTGTCTAAACACTTCGACAAGTTGTTCATAAATGTTTGGCCCAGCTCCGAAATCTTTTTATCAAATGCTTTGAATTGTTCTTTCTTGTCCTTTGGAAGTCCAGCACCGCCTTGAACAAAATTGTTGTACATCAATTCAGTCAGTCGTTTCTCGTCGTCTTTCAAATGAAAATTTTCGCATTCCAAATGCACCTTTTCGACTCTTGCAAACAAGTGCTCGTCTGCAAAGATAGCCGTTCGGTATTCAGTAATCTTCCCAACGACATTGTCATAGGCCTTTTCAAATCCCGGCATATCGTTGCGCACGCCAGATAAAAGCTCTATTTTAAGAAAGACGTCGTCAAGGGGCAGCGTCGCCAGTTCTAGAGCAACAACAGTGTTTTCAAAGTTCACCTCTTCCATTGCTCTAGTGTGTATTTGGTCCAAATTTTCGGTGCACTTTTTAAATGCCAAGTCGACGTCTGTGACGATATGATCCGCCGTCATTACTGAAAAGTCGAAAGGCTCCTCTTGTTGAAAGAATGGATGTTCCATCAGTGTTTTTCAGTTACAAGTTCTTCTGTTTTGTGATCCAAAAATTACGATGAAACACGTGGTTTTTGTATAGAAGAAAACAACTAACAACAAAAGTTAGAATACACCAGTCACTATCAAACACTTCAGTTCGTCCGCTGTGCTCTCTTCTTGCTTCTACTTCTGTAATTTGAAAACCACGTGTTCAGTTGTTTCATGGTGATACCACATTGGGCGGCCATCACTTCTTTCTCCTCATCTGATGGGTATGGGTATGCGTAGTGTTCGTTAAACCACTTCTTCAAAATAGCTTTACTTCTCTTGTCCAAGTAGTTTCTCCCGTTTTTGAACATGGGTTGCGCTACAAACGATTCTTGTGTTTCAAACTGATTCACAAAATTGGTGTCTTGTGTCATTTGTTGTGTAAATTGAAATGTGTTTTGTGTCGCCTGTGTGAACTGTGGCGTGTTCTCAACAACGCTCTGTTGCGAGTTGGTGTAGAAGTGTTGCGTTTGCCCAAAATCGGTTGTGATATTTGGAAACCCTACCGGCAAGGGGAGGTTTTCTGTGTCAAAACACTTCTTTAAACTTTGGACTAAGAGTGCTTTCAAGTGGTTATATATATTCTCAAAGAGACTTCTGACCAGTGCAACTTTTGTTGTCACTTCATTTTGCGCGACTGTTCTCCTCTTAGCCTGTGTGTCCAAGAGCTTTTTCATTTCATTGACGTAATGTTCCGCATATAAATTTAAGACATCGACTTGTGAGGAAAACGCAGAAGTGATTTTCTGGATTTCGTCTGAAAATAATGTACCATAACTCAGGGCTTTATTGTTCGCAAAGTCGAGCAACCAATCATCGTTCACTTCGACTTGAACAGGTACTAACTTTGATTCAAACATTTTAAGCACCTCATTCTGATCAATCTTCGTTAGGCCACACTCCTCTGATAGTACTGAAATCAGACTGTTTGTGGCTACCGGTGTTTGTGATGGTACGTTCATTGGATTGTGAACTACTGGAGAAGCAGTTTCGAGGAGATCTTTCTCTTTGTAATTCACTTTGCTTCGTTTTGTATAGTCTTGATAACTTTCCTTATCAAGTTGTACTATATTTAATAACTTCAAAGCTATATTTTTGGTATTTATCTTACATATGATAATAGCTATAATTATATCCAATTTAACGGGATTGTCTTTATTATAGCATTACTATAATATTATAATATTTTTACTATTAATATATTAAAATTGTAAATAGTTTGTTTGTAATAATTAAACTAAGAAAAAACTATATAATAAAAACATTCAATAAAACATGGAGAAGTTCACTGATGAGGAAAAGGCGTGTTACAAAGAGTTGAATGCGTACGACGAACTTGATCGTCACACAAATGGTCTTTTAGAAATTTGGTCGGACTTAGTCACAGAGTATTCCTTTAATACCAGAACTTTCTATCTAACCCGAGATGAGTGCAAATCGATATACCAAAGAGGAATCCATAACAAAGTACTTCGCATAGTTGGTGAGAACAAACAGTACAAAACTCAAGAATTTGACGACGCTCACCTGGCAGTAGTCAAACAAAAAATAGACGCCGAAATATCACAAGCGCATTGGAATGGCTACTTCGTTCGTTTAGGAACACGAAGCCCAAAAGACGCTTTTACCGAAAAAATGTTTTTCGATTTTTCAAAAAATTTGAAAATGTTATTTACTGCACGAATAGAGTCTTATCATGGCCAAATTCCCGAAAATTGGGCCAAAACATTTTCCGTCTACGATTATATGGATTACTCAAAGGCGCGCTTCTCTTGTTGGAAATGCAAGACGAGTGAAGAGGCACTTTCTTTATTTACAAATTCGGATCGAGTATTGAATGACATTGAACGGATTTTAAAACTCGAAATTGACCCACAAAAGTTTGAGGTTTTGGCCTTGCGAGAGTGGTGTGACGAATTAGATCCGTGGTATGAATTCAGAGCAGTTGTCTACAAGGACAACTTAACCGCATTGACTCAATACGACTCAAGATTTGTGTTGGACAATGTTATTCAAAATCCAAAAGAAGTTGAAGATGTAGTCAAGACGTTTTTTACAAAGGAATTCAAAAGAAACTTTTGTGAGAAGCGCGACAAACTGCAAGAAGAAGAGAGAAAAAGATTGGAGAGTTACGTTATTGACTTTGCGTATTTGCAAAAGACCAAAACAGTGAAAGTTGTCGAGATAAACAGCTTCTGTTCACTGTGTGGAGTTAGTCTTTTTAAATGGGAAAAAGACATTTTAGTACTTTTTGGGAAAACCCACTTTGAGTTCCGGTATAATACTACAGCGCCTGACATCAATTGGAATTATGAAGTGAGCGAAAACAGTTTGAAGAAATGTTTTGAAATCAAAAACGAAGTTTATAATCAAGTAAACAAACATTGCCAAGTCGTTTGAGATATTGTCAGTAATAAAACCACTTGTATTTCTTTTGAGTTTTTAATAATAAAATGTTATTTTTTATATTTTTTGTTTTTCAGAAAAAAAAAGAAAAAAGCACATCAAATTTCAAAGTTGCTTTTTCAATAAACAAAAACTCAACTGTATGCTTAAAGTCCGAACTTTACCAATTTTTGGTAGAAACCCCTTTATAATAAATTCCCGTTTTTTAAAGTTTTTTTGTTGTTTTCAAATATTCTTTCCGTTTGCAAAAAAGAAAAAACGGTACCAACTTTTTAACACTGAAACTAATACAGTTATAAAATTCAATTACAGATAGTAGAAAAATAGGGTGTCAGGAATAAATTGGGTGTCAAATAAATTAGGGATTAGTTAATGTAAAAAAATGGGTTTCGTTTTTGTTTATTTTTTTCCCTCCCAAAAAAATATAAAAAACCATTAAATAACTCAAAATCAATCTGACACCCAATTTATTCTTGACACCCAAATTTTCTACTATCTGTAAAAATGCACGATTTTAATGAATAATTGGAACAAACTTGAACGATTTCCTAAGACTGTTATTCAGTCTTTTCACTGTTGGGATTTTCAAAAAATCGGCATTTTTGCCTTTTGGTAATGGACGAGTTTTTTGAATAGGTGAGATAACTGTATCTCATCTTTCATATTACGACACTCTCCGACTTTTAAAATACGCGATGACATTGTTTTAACTTGTTGTTATTTTGTGGTTGTCTTTTTTTAAAAAACAAACGTCGAAATACCACACATTTCAAATGGTTGTGTTTATTTCAACGATTGTTTTTTGTTGTTGTAAGTGTTAATGAAAATAAAAGATTTTGTAATATTTTTTGTAACATCAACATTTTTTCTGAAAAAAGAAAAAGATGGTTTTACTCTCGGCAAAAACAACCATATGGTCAAGCAAATTTTTTGAAGAAGTAAGTTATTTGATATTTTCCTGTTATTTTTTTTATTTAATTTTTTAGCTTGGTTTAAATTCAATGTTCAGTCAAGTTTGTTTTATGAATAATAAAAGGGAAAAATGAGCAGAAAAACGATGTCAAAAAAATAATTGTATTTGAAATTATTTTCTTCAAAAAATCGGGTCCTTTCGGTATCGACTTTTGAAAAACAGTTTATTAATACATTGGTTTAAACTTTAGAAAGTGTTTAAATTATTAAATGTAGTACAAACGTTTTTTTGATTAAGTGCATAATTGATTTAATGTGA